AATCCCTTATCCGAATTCTTCTCTGGAGGGTTCCGTTCCCGAATGTTGTTTCCCGTTTACCCTTGGAGACAGTGTATTTGGTCATATTTCTTACTAATTTAGTGATGAGTTTCAATATAACTATTATTTCATCTATATAAACAGTTAATTATTAACTTTTAAAATGCAGTAAAAGCTTTTGAAAAATAGATTTTTGGGGTGCTTCTATAATAAATAGCATGTATGAAGTTGTAGTTCCTTATTGGGTGGTTTGGTCTTGGATCATTTTCTCTCTTGTGCCTTTTGAGTGGTACAAAATAATTCAGAATAACCATACAGATAAGATCGGACCATGAAAGTATTCTAATCCACCTCACCTCAAATTGGATTTCATTTTCTTGTGTCAGTTCATGAGTCCAATCTATTTAGTCAATTTCACTAAATAATTCACAAGTCCACACCAATTGAGAGGTAAAACATGTGAAGTATAATTAGAGTGAAATTTGATGCAAAATTTAATTAGAGTGAAATTTTTGTATTATGCTTGGTTGAATGGTACAAAAATAGTTAAATGTTGCTTGACCTTCTTACTCACAATACGTGATCATTAAAATTATATTAAAAAAAAAAAGGGCAAAGAATTCGCAAAATAAAAATCAATTATTTTTCTATTAATAAAGAAAGAAAAGAAGCTAAGCCAACCTAGGTGATAACTTTGTCATGTCACATTGCATATGATGATGTAGGGATGGCAATTCGGTTTGAGGGTCGGGCCGAGCCCGAGCTACCCGCGGGTTTAAAAAAAAATAAAAAAAAAATCCCCCAAAATGCTGCCTTAAAAGGATGCCTGCCTTTTAAGGCAAGGTGGCTTTAAGAGCAAAAAGAGGTTGAGCCTGCTCGACTAGGCTCGGCTTGGAAAGACCAAAGTTGAAAGCTCGGTTCGAACTTAATTCTATTGGTAGAGCTTTTGCTTTGTCTGGCTCGAGCCTTGAAAAAAGCTCGCAGATTTTACCTGCGTCAAGTCTCGAGTTTCAACTCGCGAGTCGATTCGAATCGACTCGTTGACATCCCTATGATAATGTGGGCTTTTGACAAAATTTGTGCTTTCCTTTACTAACTAGAGAGAAAAAAAAAACCAATTAAAAAAAAAAGGAGAGATATTAATACTTTGTTCGAGTTTCAATATCTAAAAAATCAAATTTTCTTAATTTTTTTTATTCATACATTTTTCTCAATAAAATAATTTGTATATAAATTCAAAATATTAAAAATAAGGTTTATAATAGCGATTTTTTAAAGAATGTGTAATTAAAAAATAAGAAAAAATTTTAATTTACGTGTAAAATTATTTTATTGAAAAAATATATAAGTAAAAATGAATTTGAGGAAAATTTAATTTTGGATGGACGAAGATCAGACGGTAGCTAAATTACCAGCGGCCAGGAATTCAAAGTGGGCGTGGGTCGTGGACCAGTTGGGGACAAGTTGTGGGGTATAATTGTCTGATTGTGCATTAGATTGACAAGACAATATTTTTTGATAGACGGATTTTCTGCCCCTAAAATTCCCATTTATTTATGGGGATTGAATAATTGAATTGATTGGTATGACCGATTTAATAAGATAGGGTTTATTGAATAAATTTGACAAGTTCCAATGATCCGACAAACTCCACGTGCTGTCACACCCCTCTTGTTTTGATCCCCTAAATTTCTCTACGTGGTTTGTCTACTCGTACATCAAGATTGATTGTTGACATCCAGATGTACAGATCTCCTCACAAGAGAGGATGTCCAAGATTTTTTTATTTGCCGTAGACCCCCACTTGTGAGGGGTCAGGACACCAAGATGTGTAAGAATAGAAAAACTCGTGCAAATGCAACTTTCTCTAACATTAATTTAATTAGTTTTTAATTGTTATTAATGTTTATTTCTATGGAATTCAGCCATTATTTGGTCCTTATTATTTTTAAAATATATTTTTCTCTTTTATTTTTAATCATAATTTTTTTGATAAAATAGTAATATACGAGAATCAAACATTTTTTCTTATTTTTGACCACATATTTTGAAAGCCCAAGATTGACTAACCAAGAGGTGATTGAATTGGTTTTTAAGAATTTTTTCAAAACTAATTTTAAGTTTAAAATTATTATGCTAGCAAATGTGATGATTAAGCAAAGTTGCACGAATATGAACTCAGTAGACGAATGTAAAGAGCGTAATATAAAAAACAATAAGTAAAATGGATAGAGAATGCAAACGATTTAATAGGAGGTTCGATCCGACCCAACAATCTACGTTCTCCATTACCAAACTCTCCGTTACGAGCAAGACCTTTTTCACTAAATTTAATAGACTTATGGTGCAATCCAACCCTTACAAAACTTTCGATGACTTACAAATAAGGAGCACTGATCCTTTTACAATGTTGAGTTTTACGGGATCTTAACACGACCCACAAGTTTACAAATAAAGGATTTACAAATTGAAACTTCTCTTATAGTAGATGATATATTCAAAGTTGAGTATGATAAGAGAAGTAAGTTAACTCTTTAAAAAATAGCAATAAATGAAGCTCAAGAGTTAAATGAGAAAATCTTTGATGAATAGAATAATTTTTCAACAGTTAAATTGATCAAAAGTTTTTCTAAGATAAATAGATTGATAGAGATAGACAAAGATTGAAAATTAAATAGATAAGATCAATGCTATCACTTTTTGCTCTTACATTGAATGAAGATTGATAAGGTATTTATAGTAGTAAAAACAATCAAATTTCTGTCCTACTGAACGATTGCTATTGGACGGTCAACTATCCGTTTGGTCAGAAATCAGAACGGTTGCTATTTAGATTGTTGGACAAATCGATGATATCGGACGTCTGCCAGGTTTACCGGATACGTTCAGTACGACCAAACTTTTCAACAAAATGTTTATTATTGTTTGGAAAAATATGACCTATCAAAAAATATTTTAAAACTTATTTTTCAAGGTTTTTGACACTTATGCATAAAAATTCATCTTGAACTTCCAATGATATTGCTAATTTTTAAAGCGTTTTACCTTTACACTTAAATTCAAGATATCTAAATCTAATGGCTTCAAAGTTTGTCTTGACTAATTTGTCGTATATGTTCGACTTTTATCTCGTCTTGCATTGCTCATTTTTGCGAGTATTCCAAAGTCGATCATTTTATCTTCAATTGATCAAGCTTGCCACCATTTCTATAATCACTCAAATGCAATTATTGGCGATATAAGCAATTTGTTTGTTATAATCAAAACGTGAAGTCAACCATAGGTCAACATATTTTTCATCTAAATACTATTTCAAAATATGTTTTGGACAAAAAAGTGACTCAAAGAGGCAATACAGTTCACATTTTTGCATTAGAATAATCTTATTGAGCAATCGCGATCGTCTTTGGTGGGTAGGATAAAAATTTCTTAACGTTAATGTGATAAGGAAACCTTAGGTATAGTTCTTTGAAACTATCATAAATTTAGAGAATCATAATTAAGGTTCTCCCATCACGTCAGTAGTGAATTATTTTATTTTATTTACTGGGAACATGAGGTCAAGTCTATGTTATTGAGCATAAGTTGTACTTAATATCATTCTTAATAGCAATTGAATTGTCTAATCAATAAAAGTGCATTTAAACTTCACTGAACGATGAAAAATGACATTATTTTCACTTAAAACTAATATTAATTGTCACGAGGTCCATATAATATTAGTAACATTAGTATTTTATATATGTTAAAAAAACGATTTTGGTAATATGAGAGCGGCCATCTTTAAATAATTCGACTTCTTCGTTCTTTTAATTTTTTTGGCAATTATTTTTTCGGGGCATCCTTAAAATGAGAGAGAGAGAGAGAGAGAGAGATTAGTATTGGACCCCAACCTATTACCCAATAGCAATTTCACCCCTATCAGTACATCTAACTTCACCGAATTGACAATTGAAAATGAAGAAATTTATGGATATGCAAACCTTTCTTATTTCCATTTTTAATTGTTTTCATATATATATATATATATAACATTATTTTCACTTAAAACTAATATTAATCGTCACGAGGTCCATATAATATTAGTAACATTAGTATTTTATATATGTTAAAAAAACGATTTTGGTAATATGAGAGCGGCCATCTTTAAATAATACGACTTCTTCGTTCTTTTAATTTTTTTGGCAATTATTTTTTAGGGACATCCTTAAAATGAGAGAGAGAGAGAGAGATTAGTATTGGACCCCAACCTATTACCCAATAGCAATTTCACCCCCATCAGTACATCTATCTTCACCGAATTGATAATTGAAAATGAAGAAATTTATGTATATGCAAACCTTTCTTATTTCCATTTTTAATTGTTTTCATATATATATATGTATATAGGGGTTGGGAATAAATAAACAGTGCATTAGGTACCCCTCCTCAGTATCATCGTCGATTACTTCAAGATCACGCTAGTCTATTGACTATGATCTGCCTATATTTGTTGAATCTTGACAATATTATATCATTATTAGTTTATCGTCAACAAAATAGTCTTTTTTAGCATGTGTTTCACATAACATCGTGATGGATGTTTAGAATATTTACACAGTATATTATCTACTAATACATTTCATCGCTGTTATATTTTTGTACAACAAAATTTAGGAAACGTGTGACAAAAAAGTTTATAACAACTTTAATAAAGTTTCATAAAAAATGATGAAATATGCTATTAAAAAATTAATAAACATTTTGAATTTTATGAAATGCTTAATCAAAATCAAGAGATCAATTTTCTTGTTTACAAAACCTAAAAATCGCCTTGCAATTTGAAAAGATTTTTTTAGAAATAAAAACTAAAAAGGCGTTGCTTTACACAAAACCTTGACGCGACCGCATCATTTGCACCGCCTGTTGCTGACGGTTTCATTTTACAGTCAAAACCTATGGTTCTTTAAGCGCGTGGCCACCGCGATATAAATATTCTTTCTTTTCATTTCTTTATTCATTTCACCTTCCTCGCCTTGCTACCTCACCACGACTCTGAATTCAGATATCTTTCAGGTTTTTCTTCATCCGTAAGTCTCTCTCACCCACTTTTTTATTCACCAAATCGGAAAACTTAAAAAAAAAAAAATAATAATAATAATTGAGTCTTGTCGACTAGATTTCCAGTCACAGTTGAAGGGTTCTTTGGCTTAGATCGATCGCGCGTCTGTTCTTTGACTTTTGAGCCATTTGGATTTGAATCTTTGTTTGGTTTTTTTGTCATCCAAGCTGGAGTCATGAAGTGGACAGATGATTAGAGTGTGCTGCAGAAATTCAACGATGAGTAGTTGAAGAACATAAATGGATTTCTTAAATAGTTATTCACTGTGGATCTGAAGATTGTTTTTTGAAGCTCTTTTGTAAAATTCGCTCATGTTTTCGTCAGATTATTCATAATATATAGGAATTGAGTGGACGGAAATGGCGGAGTACGAGCAAGGGTCAGGTTCTCGCAACGTTCATCAGCTTCTCAGCCCGGAGCTCCATTTGAAGAGACCATCCTCACTTGTCCAACACCAGACTAATAAAGGGGCTGAGCCTTCTGATTCCAAAAACTCGCCTGAAAAGGGCCAAAAAACTGATAGAGACACGGCTGCCACCACCAGTTCTGGTGGCACGCCCAACCCCGACCGCCGCCCTCGGGGCCGACCTGCTGGTTCCAAGAACAAGCCAAAGCCTCCAACAATTGTCACTAGGGACACCCCAAATGCCCTTCGAGCTCATATTCTTGAAGTCTCAGCTGGTAGTGATATAGTGGAGAATGTATCTGTATATGCAAGGCGGAGGGGAAGAGGGGTTTGTGTTCTCAGTGGTAGCGGCACCGTTTCAAATGTCACGCTGCGTCAGCCGGCGGCACCTACGGGGAATGTGGTGACACTGCATGGCCGATTCGAGTTACTTTCCCTCTCCGGGACGGTGCTTCCGCCTCCTGCACCACCGGATGCTGGTGGTCTGTCGATATTCTTGTCGGGAGGGCAGGGGCAGGTAGTTGGTGGGAGTGTGGTGGGGCCTTTGATTGCTTCAGGTCCAGTGGTTCTGATGGCTGCTTCGTTTGCGAATGCAGTTTTTGAACGGTTGCCTTTGGAGGAAGAGGGCATTGCTCAGACTCCGCCGGCTGCATCGCAATCATCAAGTGTCACAGCAGGTGGTGGTGGCGGGCATGTGAGCGAGGGCGGCGGTAATGGAGGCGGCGGTAGTGGTCCTTTCTTGAATTCAGGTGGAAATGAGCCCCCAAATTATCCCTTTTCTGCTGATTTGTTCGGGGGATGGGGCGGAAGTTCTGCAAGGCCACCATTTTAACAGTGTTACAATTTCTTGCCTTGGAATATTTTTGACTGTATTACTAGTCTTAGTTCATGTAATCTCTCGCCTTTGGCTGATGGCAAATCGGAAATGGGATGAACGGAGTTAGATAAATACGGCATTGGTAACATAGCTAGAGCGAACAAATTGGTATTTTCTTGAATCTGAAGGAAGAAAAACGAGATTTTTTTTTTTTTTTTAATCAAGTAAAGCATATCAGATGAATTTAGAGTTTATTTTTAAGGTTAGTAGGTTCAACTTCATGCATACATTGTATTGCTTGGAAAAACCTGTTTTCTTTGTTTATCCTTCAATCTGATTTGGTTCACTTGTAATCTTCAAAATGCTAAATATGAATATTTAGTAGGATTTTCTTGAATTTGCCTTTGCAAAAATTGATGAGAACTTGCGTTAATTTGCAATGTCTAGGCAGCATTAATTCCAGGAATAATTAGATAATTTTACTATTCCCATGTATTGCAATTTTTGGTCCTTTCTATACACTAATTTTCCATGAAATCACAATAACATATTTAATTATTGAATTCTCTCTTAATGCGTTTAATTTAAAGAATTGATGCACCAATTAGGAGGTGGAATTTGATTTGGCATTAATTAGTGGTAAATTTTGTTTTGTTCTCTTTTGTTCTCATTCATTTGTGAGACAATGCATCTTATCTTATATTTTATAATTAAGAGATACAGAAACACAAGTGTTTTAGTCTAAATTTGCTTCTTCCGCACACAAAATAAAAGTAAAAAGAGCACACATAAAATTTGCATAATTAACTAGGATGCCATGCAAGTTGCTATTAATTAAAATGGAGAATGGTCTTGAGGGGAGAAAATATGGATCTATAGTTGATTTGACAGCATTAACAAGATGTATTGTTTAAACCATCAGTTAGTGAAGTATATCACCCAACTTGTAAGACTAGTTGAAGGAATAATTAAATAATTTGTTTTGGCAACTTAAAATTTTAGATGAGGTATAAATTGCATATGTTGTAGGTCTATTCTTTCCTGTCAGTCATTTATGAAAATTGTGCACGTGTTAGAATTTTGATAGAAAACTAAAATTCGACCTATGATGTGGCTCAACAAGATGGTTCCTCTATGCTCAAGAAACTGAAGAAATAAATAAATAAAACCCCAGTTAAAAACCAGCAACTTTCTCCCCTCTAGTAGCTCAAGGGTTTACACATCTGGAATTAGGGTAAAATGATATTGTGCCTCAAGCTTTCAATAAAGAAAAAAAGAGATTCTTCTGCACTCCCAACAATTCTTCCCTAAAATAAGCAAAAAGAGGGAAGCTCATTTCCCTTTGCAGAAATTAATCTAAAAGAAAATCAGCTGCGTAGTGCAAAATGTTGGAAATTGCAACTTTGAATCATTGAAATCTGAAAAAGAAAAGATGGAGCATTTTTCTTTGGAACTTAGTTAAATGCATTTTCCCATTTAGCTTTAAAATTTCCTTGCAATAAGGAAAATTGCATTTTTTTTCTAAAATCATTTTGGTTAATTTTAAGCAGTTTTGAATAAGTGATTTTCTATTTCCCATCAATTCAACAAGCAACATAACTTGAGCAGCTTTGCTGCTAAAATTTCCTGTTTGTTGCATGCACTCAACTAATTTTTAACCATTTATTTTTTTGTTTCTTGATATCTTGTCTTTTCTTTGTAGATTTTAATCGTTTCCTTGTAAGCGTACTACCATGAGGCAACAAAATGTGATGACACAAATATAGAAAAAAGCCAAAATCTGATGGCCGAGGCCATCTCTACCACTTATTTTGGATAAAATTATTTTGGAGTTTTTGAGAATATCTCTACTGCCAAAATCCGTTGGTCTTTTTCCCTGATTTCTGTGATTAATCTTGGTTTAAGTTTAATTGAAGATAAACCTTACAATATTAGTCTAGTAGGTTTCAATAATCACTAGAAAAATAAAATTATATGGCTTCAGGCACAATTATTTCCCTCCACAATACAGCATCAGGTCCTTTTAATGACAAAAATAAATTAGGTTATCGTGGACAATAAAATCTTGATACTCTCTACTCTAAACTAGGTTTGACGAAAAATGAATTTGTCATCAAGTATGTTGGAAACAGGTAATAGGACATGCAACACGGGTAAGATTCAATAACTTGGAATTGAATATGGGCACACACTTCAATGTGTGAGGCTTTGGTAGTATTACTGTGTTCAGAAATTGAAGAGCAGTTTGATCATCATCTTCATCGACTTAAATGCAGCAGTCTAAAAACTTGCAAGAAGTACTTGTGGTCCCATAAACATAAATTCATATAACTAATCATTGATTTTCCTTCTCTAAAATTGTTCGAAAAATGAATAGTGACATTTAAGTATGTAACTGTGAACATGAATTGTATAATTGAGATCTTCATATATTTAATTAATAAAATATATTTTTAATTAATTATTTCATAAATAATTTTTAATTAATATATAATTTTTGAAGTTTTATACCTTGCTTCTTAGTTTTGAAATGGTTCATAATTAATCTCTTAGTTATGAAAATTTCTCATTTTTATATGGTACAAATTTTATGAAGCTTTAGAAAGAAAATTTTGTAAATTAAAGCAAATAAATGTATAAAATAACAAATGAAAAAGAAACACTAAGGGTCCGTTTGATAGTAAAGGTGGAAAAAGCAAACTAATTTCATATAAGTTGGAAAAGAAAAAACCACCAAAATCATAAGAATTCGATTTCCATGAAATTGGCCAAAAACATGTTTTAACTGTTTGCATATTGGAATTCAAACTCTAATTCGACTTTCGTATCAAACAGCCAAAATAGAAAACGAATTCCTCGACTATGTCATTTTCCATGGAATTAGGTGCTATCAAACAGACCCTAATATAAAATCAACTTTTAATTTAATTGGTAGCTGCCATCCCCAGAAAATAAACTACTCTTTCCATCCCATAAAGATAAAATCTTGTTCAATTAAACACAAATTAAGAAAATGTAATTAATATAGTTGGAAAATTACACAAAATTTTCTCCATCAATTAGGTAAATTTGAATGTATCGATCAATTTTACACTTGAAGCTATATTCTCACTGTCTACTCGAAACGAAATACTACATAAATAAGTGAAACTTTATTATATTAATGTCTTTTCCACATAATTAAAAAGATACTATGTGGTACTTTAGATACTTATCCTATTTCAACAATTTAATAATACCTCCAACGAACTAGATGTCTAATTTTCCCCACGAATATTACACAACTAGCAAAGGCTGGGTTAATGACAAAAACTGAAAATGACACAATTTCTCTTTCATAAAATACCAACTTATTTATCCATTGGTAGACAACTTCGGGTGTTATCAAATTATCAATAAAATCTTATTTTAGTCGTTCAAATTTATCTTTATACCAAACTCACCACTTAAGCTTCAATTTCATTTTAAGTTTAACATGAAATTAGGTCAACTCTTTCGGTCAGGTCTTGATCTGCCTTCAATCCCTTATCCGAATTCTTCTCTGGAGGGTTCCGTTCCCGAATGTTGTTTCCCGTTTACCCTTGGAGACAGTGTATTTGGTCATATTTCTTACTAATTTAGTGATGAGTTTCAATATAACTATTATTTCATCTATATAAACAGTTAATTATTAACTTTTAAAATGCAGTAAAAGCTTTTGAAAAATAGATTTTTGGGGTGCTTCTATAATAAATAGCATGTATGAAGTTGTAGTTCCTTATTGGGTGGTTTGGTCTTGGATCATTTTCTCTCTTGTGCCTTTTGAGTGGTACAAAATAATTCAGAATAACCATACAGATAAGATCGGACCATGAAAGTATTCTAATCCACCTCACCTCAAATTGGATTTCATTTTCTTGTGTCAGTTCATGAGTCCAATCTATTTAGTCAATTTCACTAAATAATTCACAAGTCCACACCAATTGAGAGGTAAAACATGTGAAGTATAATTAGAGTGAAATTTGATGCAAAATTTAATTAGAGTGAAATTTTTGTATTATGCTTGGTTGAATGGTACAAAAATAGTTAAATGTTGCTTGACCTTCTTACTCACAATACGTGATCATTAAAATTATATTAAAAAAAAAAAGGGCAAAGAATTCGCAAAATAAAAATCAATTATTTTTCTATTAATAAAGAAAGAAAAGAAGCTAAGCCAACCTAGGTGATAACTTTGTCATGTCACATTGCATATGATGATGTAGGGATGGCAATTCGGTTTGAGGGTCGGGCCGAGCCCGAGCTACCCGCGGGTTTAAAAAAAAATAAAAAAAAAATCCCCCAAAATGCTGCCTTAAAAGGATGCCTGCCTTTTAAGGCAAGGTGGCTTTAAGAGCAAAAAGAGGTTGAGCCTGCTCGACTAGGCTCGGCTTGGAAAGACCAAAGTTGAAAGCTCGGTTCGAACTTAATTCTATTGGTAGAGCTTTTGCTTTGTCTGGCTCGAGCCTTGAAAAAAGCTCGCAGATTTTACCTGCGTCAAGTCTCGAGTTTCAACTCGCGAGTCGATTCGAATCGACTCGTTGACATCCCTATGATAATGTGGGCTTTTGACAAAATTTGTGCTTTCCTTTACTAACTAGAGAGAAAAAAAAAACCAATTAAAAAAAAAAGGAGAGATATTAATACTTTGTTCGAGTTTCAATATCTAAAAAATCAAATTTTCTTAATTTTTTTTATTCATACATTTTTCTCAATAAAATAATTTGTATATAAATTCAAAATATTAAAAATAAGGTTTATAATAGCGATTTTTTAAAGAATGTGTAATTAAAAAATAAGAAAAAATTTTAATTTACGTGTAAAATTATTTTATTGAAAAAATATATAAGTAAAAATGAATTTGAGGAAAATTTAATTTTGGATGGACGAAGATCAGACGGTAGCTAAATTACCAGCGGCCAGGAATTCAAAGTGGGCGTGGGTCGTGGACCAGTTGGGGACAAGTTGTGGGGTATAATTGTCTGATTGTGCATTAGATTGACAAGACAATATTTTTTGATAGACGGATTTTCTGCCCCTAAAATTCCCATTTATTTATGGGGATTGAATAATTGAATTGATTGGTATGACCGATTTAATAAGATAGGGTTTATTGAATAAATTTGACAAGTTCCAATGATCCGACAAACTCCACGTGCTGTCACACCCCTCTTGTTTTGATCCCCTAAATTTCTCTACGTGGTTTGTCTACTCGTACATCAAGATTGATTGTTGACATCCAGATGTACAGATCTCCTCACAAGAGAGGATGTCCAAGATTTTTTTATTTGCCGTAGACCCCCACTTGTGAGGGGTCAGGACACCAAGATGTGTAAGAATAGAAAAACTCGTGCAAATGCAACTTTCTCTAACATTAATTTAATTAGTTTTTAATTGTTATTAATGTTTATTTCTATGGAATTCAGCCATTATTTGGTCCTTATTATTTTTAAAATATATTTTTCTCTTTTATTTTTAATCATAAATTTTTTGATAAAATAATAATATACGAGAATCAAACATTTTTTCTTATTTTTGACCACATATTTTGAAAGCCCAAGATTGACTAACCAAGAGGTGATTGAATTGGTTTTTAAGAATTTTTTCAAAACTAATTTTAAGTTTAAAATTATTATGCTAGCAAATGTGATGATTAAGCAAAGTTGCACGAATATGAACTCAGTAGACGAATGTAAAGAGCGTAATATAAAAAAACAATAAGTAAAATGGATAGAGAATGCAAACGATTTAATAGGAGGTTCGATCCGACCCAACAATCTACGTTCTCCATTACCAAACTCTCCGTTACGAGCAAGACCTTTTTCACTAAATTTAATAGACTTATGGTGCAATCCAACCCTTACAAAACTTTCGATGACTTACAAATAAGGAGCACTGATCCTTTTAAAATGTTGAGTTTTACGGGATCTTAACACGACCCACAAGTTTACAAATAAAGGATTTACAAATTGAAACTTCTCTTATAGTAGATGATATATTCAAAGTTGAGTATGATAAGAGAAGTAAGTTAACTCTTTAAAAAATAGCAATAAATGAAGCTCAAGAGTTAAATGAGAAAATCTTTGATGAATAGAATAATTTTTCAAAAGTTAAATTGATCAAAAGTTTTTCTAAGATAAATAGATTGATAGAGATAGACAAAGATTGAAAATTAAATAGATAATATCAATGCTATCACTTTTTGCTCTTACATTGAATGAAGATTGATAAGGTATTTATAGTAGTAAAAACAATCAAATTTCTGTCCTACTAAACGATTGCTATTGGACGGTCAACTATCCGTTTGGTCAGAAATCAGAACGGTTACTATTTAGATTGTTGGACAAATCGATGATATTGGACGTCTGCCAGGTTTACCGGATACGTTCAGTACGACCAAACTTTTCAACAAAATGTTTATTATTGTTTGGAAAAATATGACCTATCAAAAAATATTTTTAAAACTTATTTTTCAAGGTTTTTGACACTTATGCATAAAAATTCATCTTGAACTTCCAATGATATTGCCAATTTTTAAAGCGTTTTACCTTTACACTTAAATTCAAGATATCTAAATCTAATGGCTTCAAAGTTTGTCTTGACTAATTTGTCGTATATGTTCGACTTTTATCTCGTCTTGCATTGCTCATTTTTGCGAGTATTCCAAAGTCGATCATTTTATCTTCAATTGATCAAGCTTGCCACCATTTCTATAATCACTCAAATGCAATTATTGGCGATATAAGCAATTTGTTTGTTATAATCAAAACGTGAAGTCAACCATAGGTCAACATATTTTTCATCTAAATACTATTTCAAAATATGTTTTGGACAAAAAAGTGACTCAAAGAGGCAATACAGTTCACATTTTTGCATTAGAATAATCTTATTGAGCAATCGCGATCGTCTTTGGTGGGTAGGATAAAAATTTCTTAACGTTAATGTGATAAGGAAACCTTAGGTATAGTTCTTTGAAACTATCATAAATTTAGAGAATCATAATTAAGGTTCTCCCATCACGTCAGTAGTGAATTATTTTATTTTATTTACTGGGAACATGAGGTCAAGTCTATGTTATTGAGCATAAGTTGTACTTAATATCATTCTTAATAGCAATTGAATTGTCTAATGAATAAAAGTGCATTTAAACTTCAGTGAACGATGAAAAATGACATTATTTTCACTTAAAACTAATATTAATCGTCACGAGGTCCATATAATATTAGTAACATTAGTATTTTATATATGTTAAAAAAACGATTTTGGTAATATGAGAGCGGCCATCTTTAAATAATACGACTTCTTCGTTCTTTTAATTTTTTTGGCAATTATTTTTTAGGGACATCCTTAAAATGAGAGAGAGAGAGAGAGATTAGTATTGGACCCCAACCTATTACCCAATAGCAATTTCACCCCCATCAGTACATCTATCTTCACCGAATTGATAATTGAAAATGAAGAAATTTATGTATATGCAAACCTTTCTTATTTCCATTTTTAATTGTTTTCATATATATATATATATATAGGGGTTGGGGATAAATAAACAGTGCATTAGGTACCCCTCCTCAGTGTCATCGACGATTACTTCAAGATCACACTAGTCTATTGACTATCATCTGCCTATATTTATTGAATCTTGACAATATTATATCATTATTAGTTTATCGTCAACAAAGTAGTCTTTTTAGCATGTGTTTCACATAACATCGTGATTGATGTTTAGAATATTACACAGTATATTATCTATTAATACATGTTATCGCTGTGATATTTTTGTACAACAAAATTTACGAAACGTGTGACAAAAATGTTTATAACAACTTTAATAAAGTTTCATAAAAAATGATGAAATATGCTATTAAAAAATTAATAAAAATTTTGAATTTTATGAAATGCTTAATTAAAATTAAGAGATCAATTTTCTTGTTTACAAAACCTAAAAATCGCCTTGCAATTTGAAAATATTTTTTTAGAAATAAAAACTAAAAAGGCGTTGCTTTACACAAAACCTTGACGCGACCGCATCATTTGCACCGCCTGATGCTGACGGTTTCAACCTATGGTTCAAGCGAGTGGCCACCGCGATATAAATATTCTTTCTTTTCATTTCTTTATTCATTTCACCTTCCTCGCCTTGCTACCTCACCACGACTCTGAATTCAGATATCTTTCAGGTTTTTCTTCATCCGTAAGTCTCTCTCACCCACTTTTTTATTCACCAAATCGGAAAACTTAAAAAATAATAATAATAAGAATAATAATTGAGTCTTGTCGACTAGATTTCCAGTCATAGTTGAAGGGTTCTTTGGCTTAGATCGATCGCGCCTGTTCTTTGACTTTTGAGCCATTTGGATTTGAATCTTTGTTTGGTTTTTTTGTCATCCAAGCTGGAGTCATGAAGTGGACAGATGATTACAGTGTGCTGCAGAAATTCAACGATGAGTAGTTGAAGAACATAAATGGATTTCTTAAATAGTTATTCACTGTGGATCTGAAGATTGTTTTTTGAAGCTCTTTTGTAAAATTCGCTCATGTTTTCGTCAGATTATTCATAATATATAGGAATTGAGTGGACGGAAATGGCGGAGTACGAGCAAGGGTCAGGTTCTCGCAACGTTCGTCAGCTTCTCAGCCCGGAGCTCCATTTGAAGAGACCATCCTCACTTGTCCAACACCAGACTAATAAAGGGGCTGAGCCTTCTGATTCCAAAAACTCGCCTGAAAAGGACCAAAAAACTGATAGAGACACGGCTGCCACCACCAGTTCTGGTGGCACGCCCAACCCCGACCGCCGCCCTCGGGGCCGACCTGCTGGTTCCAAGAACAAGCCAAAGCCTCCAACAATTGTCACTAGGGACGCCCCAAATGCCCTTCGAGCTCATATTCTTGAAGTTTCAGCTGGTAGTGATATAGTGGAGAATGTATCTGTATATGCAAGGCGGAGGGGAAGAGGGGTTTGTGTTCTCAGTGGCAGCGGCACCGTTTCAAATGTCACGCTGCGTCAGCCGGCGGCACCTACGGGGAATGTGGTGACACTGCATGGCCGATTCGAGTT